CACGGCCACCGCAGCCTCGACCTGCTGGGCCTAGGCTATCCTTCTGCCTCCACCTTCCAAGTAGCTGGGACTACAGACACATGCCACCATGCCTGGCTAGTTTTTGTGACTTATTGTAGAGACGAGGTCTCACCAAGCTGCCCAGGCTGGTCTCGAACCCCCAGGTTTAGACAATCCTCTTGCCTCAGCCTCCCGAAGTGCTGGGATCACAAGCCACCATGTCCCGCCTGCTTATTTATTTTTTAGAGACAGAATCTCACTCTGCCACCACACTTGAGCGCAGTGATAACAATCATAGCTCACAGCAGTTTCTAACTCTTGGGCTCAAGCAATCCTGCCACCTCAGCCTCCCAAGTAGTGCTACCATACAAGGCTGTTTTTTTTTTTTTTTTGGTAGAGACAGTGTCTCACTATGTCATCTAGGCTGGTGTCAAACTTTTGGCTTAAAGCAATCCTCCTGTCTCAGCCTCCCAAAGTGTTGAGATTACAGGCATGAGCCACTTACCCTTGCCAGAACACATCAAACATGTTTAAATCCTTGAGTTTGTAATGAAACTGAAAACCAAACCAAAAACACACAAAGTCTTATTGCTCATCTTTTGAGGACACTAATAAACAACGTTATTATTTTGAAAACTTAAATAAAATGAAAGAATTAACTTTTATACTACCTTTTCTCTTTTTTTTTTGAGTTGGAGTCTCACTCTGTCACCGAGGTTGTAGTGCAGAGGCATGCTAACAACCACCTCAGCCTCGACCTGCTGGGATCAGGCAATCCTTCCACCTCAGCCTTCCAAGCAGCTGGAACTACAGGTGCATGCTACCACACCCGGTTAATTTCTTGATTTATTGTACAGACAACGTTTTGCAAAGTTTCCCAGGCTGGTGTCGAATCCCTGAACTCAGGAAATCCTCTTGACTCTGTCTCCCAAAGTGCTAGGATTACAGATGTGAGCCATAGTGCCCAGCTATACTACCTTTTCTATATGACTTGTGCCCGAGTTTGGCTAAGTAGATGAGGCGTTATGGTTTTTTATATTTTTTGAGTTGGAATCTTACTCTGGCTCCCAGGCTGAAGTGTAGTGGCATGCGCACAGCTACTGCAGTCTCTACCTACTGGGCTCAGGCAATCGTTCCGCCTAAACTTTCTAAGTAGCTGGAATTACAGGCACGTGCCATGACGCCCAGCTAATTTTTTTTTTATTGTAGAGATGAGGTATTGCCAAGTTGCCCAAGCTGGTCTTGAACTCGTGGGTTCAGGCGATTCTCAAACCTCAGCCTCCCAAAGCACTGGGATTATAAGCATGTGCCACCGTGCTCAGCCTGAGAAGTTATCTTTATACAAGTATTCCAGTAAAAAAAGATACAATTAGAGTATGACCATTACAAATAGCCACAAGTGAATTATTGGAGCAGGTAATGTCCATCAATAACTGATCACATCTCAAAAATAGGTCAAGCCCAGAGACTAACACTTGTTAGTTCAGCATCCTGGGAGGCTGAGACAGGAGGACTGCATGGGTCTAGGAGTTTGAGACTAGCGATATTTCATCTCTACCAAAAAAAAAAAAAAAAAAGCCGGGTTCGGTGGCTCAGCCTGTAATCCCGCACCTTTGGGAGGCTGAGGTGAGTGGACTGCCTGAGCTCGCGAGTTCAAGACCCACTTGGGCAACATGGCGAGACCTCATCTCTACAATAAAGCAAAAAATTAGCCGAGCATGGTAGCGCGCGCCTGTAGTTACAGCTACTTGGAAGGCTGAGGTGAAAGGATCACCAGAGCCCAGCAGGTCGAGGTTGCAGTGGCCAGGAGCGGCCACTGCACTCCAGTCTGGGCGACAGAGTGAAAAAAAATTAAAAAAAAAAAGATATTTCAACTCACAAAAAAGATATTTCATCTCTACCAAAAAAAAAAAAAAAAAAAAAAGCAAGCAAGCTGGGCTCGGTGGCTCAGCCTGTAATAATCCCGTGCCTTTGGGAGGCTGAGGTGACTGGATTGCCTGAGCCCGCAGGTTCAAGACCCACCTTGGCAGCGAGACCACATCTCTACAATAAATAAAAAATTCAGCCGGGCGTGGTAGCGCATGCCTGTAATTCCAGTTACTCGGAAGGCTGAGGTGGAAGGATCACCGGAGTCCAGCAGGTCAAGGCTGCGGTGGCCAGGAGCGGCCACTGCACT